AAGAGACTCATGTAATGGTACAAGATCCCAATGATGAATGTAACTGTATTTTATACCTAAAATGTACCAATAAAGTTAATGGGGAAAAAAATTTTTTAAATGACTCCCCAGGTCATACAATCAGTGTCAGAGGAGAACTCAAATCTGGGTTTTAATCTATTTTTTTCTAATTCGAAAGAAATTCTTCTGAAAAAGTTTCTACAAACTAGATACAACTTAATTTTTCTTCAATCTTTTATAAACATACTTTAAATTATAAATACTCATTAGGATTATCAGCCTTATAAAAATGGATTAAAGGATAAGTTAATGTATTTCTGTGTGTCTCTCCCTTTTAGGGAATAAATATGTTTTGGAGTACCCATATGCACAAAGGCTATATATATGTTACATGCTTAAACCTTCACAATTCTTCTCAAGGTTTGTATTCATCAGATGAAGGAACCAACTTTGAAAGCAGTTAAGTAAGTTGTACAGAGTGTGAATATTATTATTATTATTATTATTATTTGGTACCGGGGATCGAACTTGGGACCTTGCACTTGTGCGAGAGGTGCCAGAACCACTGTGCTAAATCCCCAGCCCAAAATTTACATGTTTCCTTTTTTTTTGGTACCAGGGATCAAACTCGGGACCTTTCGCGTGCGAGGCAGGAGCTGGAACCACTGAGCTAAATGCCCAGCCCTGTGAATATCATTATTAAATATCAATTTGGGATTTCAGCTGGGGTCTTCAGACCCTTAAGCACATATACACTGACTTCATATGCCTAGTAGAATAGCTATCTCTTTGTTGAACAACAGCTTTGTGCAAATCAGTAAATCAGAGACAACTGGTTAAAGCAGGCACTCATGATTAGGACAGGAATTACTAATAATCAATCTTGTTTGTGAACTGGGGAATGCTTCCGGAGAAAGCAAATGAGCTATTTTCATAGCTGAATAGGGTGTGATGTAGGCTCCAGATTTCATCCAGTGGGAAGAGTGTAACTGTAAAAACACAGGAATGGTACTGAAGGTGGTCTGACTTAAATGGAGCACAAGATACAAAGAGGGAAGTGAAAAATGAGGCTGGAGTGGTAGGCAGAAACCAGATCACTGAAGGATGCCCTGAATAATTTTATACAAGGGATGATCAAAATACAGGGTGAATGCTTAGATTAAAATAATTTATTACAGTAAAAGATGTATTGACATTATTTTCCCTCAAAATATTTCCCCTCGTTTCAAACACACTTGTCCTATCTTTCTTGGCACTTTCTGAACAAGTTCTGGAAGTCCTTTCATGAGTGTCTTTACAAAGTATGATGAAAACTACAGTGAATGCTGTTGCCAAGTGCCACGAATGGAAAGGCAGGTTCATAAAAACATTACAGTGTGTCCTCATCCACCTTACTCACTAGATATCACAACATTTGACTTCAGGCTCTTCCCCAAAGTAAAAAAAGGACCATGGAAAGTAAACATTTTGAATTGATTCAGGACATCAAAGTAGCCATGACAGGACAACTAAAAACAAGAAAATGAACTTCCAGAACTGCTTCAGAAAGTGGTGGTGGTGGTGGGGGACAATGCACTAAATGTTTGAAGTAAGGGGAGGGGGGAGTATTTTGTGGGGGACTAATAGCAATGTGTCTTTTACTGTAAATTATTAAACATTCACCATATTTTCTGATCACACCTCATGGTTTCATATCATGAGGAACGGATTTTAAGTGAATGAGATTGAAAGTGGCGTAGGTAGGTAAGAAATGAGGATGAGTGTGAACTAAAGCCATGAAGAGGGATTAGAAAGGGGATGAAATTAAGATATATTTAGATCAAGAAATTAAAAATTTTAGTAAACAATCATAAGCATGTACAGGTTTTTGGGAAGGGAATTATGATGTAAAGTAGCCTTAAAGTTGTTAGCACTTATCATGTAAAAATAAATACATCCCAATTTATAATTCAATACAATTTTACTAATCATAAGGTAAATCATGCAATCATTCCACATTCATTTTGTATATTCTGTGACTCTACCTCAGTAATTCCAGCAATGGAATTTCCAACAAGAAAAAATTTCCAGGGCTGAGGATTTAGCTCAGTGGCACCGCACCTGCCTTGCAAGCACAAGGTTCTGAGTTTGATCCCCGGTACCAAAAGAAAAAAAAAAGAATTTCCAAGTGGAAAGAAAAAAGAAAGACATGCAGAAGACACACAAAGAAAAATCACATGCAGGTTCCAGTCTAAATAGATCAAAGTCTAATATTTTTCTAACTGATGACTGTTAAATCTATTTTCTGAGAAGTGATGTTATAAAATTAGGTTAGTCACAAAAGTTTTGTTTTTTTTTTTGTACTGGGGATTGAACTCAGGACCTTGTGCTTTTAAGGCAGGTGCAGCGCCACCAAGCTAAATCCCTGGCCCAGTCACAAAAGTTTTAACTCAAGACACACATGAATATATCTAGTTCATGTATATCTACATGTGCTATATATTTCTTCAAAAATAATATTTAACTCAATATAACTAGTAATAACTAAATTTTTGGGGGGGGCGGGTACTGGGGGTCAAACTAGGCAGGCGGCAGAACCACTAAGCTAAATCCCCTGCCCAAAATGTTGTTTTTAAAGGAAACTGTCATTTATGAGGCCCAGTAATTCTCAAACTATGTTGTACATTAGAATCATTTAAGGAATTCTCAAAATTCTGATAGTCATGTCTCAATCCATAATAACTAAATCAAAATATCTGGGTAGGGGAACCAGACATAGCTATACCTATGAATTTAAAAGAAATCAATGATTGATTCAGGTAAATAAATTTTCTCCCAAAAATAATACATTTACTTTTCTCAAAATGGCCCTTTACATAGTTTAAACTGATTAGTGTTACTTTAAAAATTTTAAATTTGAAATCCACTTGCTATCATTTTGACATCATCATTTAAAATCGTATTTCTTACAAACCATATTTATAAAATAGTCATAGAATACCTGTAATGGTGCTTGGTTCAGCAATATGAGAGTTTTTATTTTTTGCAGAAGAAAATCTCATTGGACAAGGTTTTGATCCACATGCTGAAAATATGTCTGACCTATAATGAAACAATAATTCCAATAAACATTTTTAGAGTTGTTCAACACTCATATCAAGTATATTCTACTCTTTTTTATTAATTCAGTAAACTTTCAGATAATAAGGTAGCAGACATATAAAATCAAATATAAAAACTACAGCTAAGAATATTTTTAACTCAGTTTTTGATATTGGACCCTTTTTTTTTGAGACAGGGTCTCACTATGCAGTTCAGGCTGAGTTTGAACTCACTATGTAGTCCAGGCTGGCCACAAACTCATGGTGATCCTTCTGCCTCAGCCTCCTGAGTGCTGGGATTCCCAGTGTGTGCCACCACACCTGGGCTGACCTTTGAACCTATACAAGGGATCAAACTCAGGACCTTGCGCTTGCCAGGCAGGTGCCACTGAGCTACATTTCAGGGCCTTCGAACCTTTTGACACATGGCTAATTTTTAATTTTCCTTGGGGAGATTGCTACAGGATATGACTCTGGCTTGTGCTATATAAACTCTGGGTAAGTGCAAAACCACTGAATCGAGTTCTAAGACCAAATCAAATTATGTCCTATTTATCTAATATACTATCTAACATCATATACAGGAAAAAAACAGAGTCCTGACTACAAATAAGAAGTCAGCAGCAAGTGGCTTGCAAATACCACTTTCTTCTTAGACTATCCTATGATACACTTTCCTGACATTTTAAAGGACTATTTGTTTAATGCAGAAAAACTTTGTTACAGAATATTAAATCTGAATGCAGGGAAATTGCTTAAGTAGTAAATATTGTAAAGTCAATAAATTAGTAATGGATATTATGAAGGAGAGCTTTTACAAAGTACAATTCTCAATAGAACTGTGTACTTGCCATTGAGCCTCATAAAAATTAATATTAAATATTTTGAAAGAATTTCTCTATTATGGAGAAATTTATACTGTGTATTTGACTTGGATGAAAGAAAAAACTTCAGTCTAGAAGGGTGATTTTTTTTTTTTTGTACTGGGATTGAACTTGGGACCCTGTGCTTGCAAGGCAGGCAGCAGAACCACTGAGCTAAATCCTCAGCCCTACAAGGCTGGTTTTTGACAATTTTTCTTCCTTAACCCATCTAACAATAAAAGCCTTGCTTCGGTAGTAGTTTTTTTTACTATGACTCCTAAGGCAGGATGCAAGCTGGTTAAGACTAACTAGTAAATCCATTAAGTGTAAATGTGGGAATCTTAAATCCATTAAGGATAATTCAGATCATAAGTGAGGATGTGCTGAATTCCCTTCTTACAGAGTTCAATATTTCAGGAGAATAATTCTGTGATACAATTTAGGAAGTACTGAATTTTTCCCCAGTGAGTTTCAAATTATTTACACAATGTTGCAACTAACTGTATGAAACTTAATATAAATGGCTATTTCACAAGTCCATAAAACCACTCCAAATTCATTCTGTAAATATATTTCTATTAGTTTACCTAAGTACTATAATTACAACAAAGGAAATTTCGGTAAGAAAAAAATCCTCAAGTACAAACCAAATCATTATTTAAGTTAACAATGTGGAGAGGAAAATCCTGGGATGAGATAAACCTCCAAGAACAGGACACAAAAATTCAGTATTTATGAACTGATGAAGTTTCTATTAAAGTTATTAAAATATTACCTCTTCTTTGATTGTGCAATCTTTTTTATTTTCCTTTTTTTTGGTACCAGGGATAGAACTCAGGACCTTGTGCTTGCGAGGCACGCAGCGGAACCACTGAGCTAAATCCCCGGCCCTTGATTATGCAATCTTTACCTGCATTTATCAGAGGCTCCAATTCATTAAAGTGACAATAATTTTAATTTAATTTTAAATACTTAATAGCTACATATAAACAATGTTCAGATAAAATCAAAGGAAAATAAAATCAGAAGGACTGACAACACCAAATGTTATCAAGAATGTGAGGCCATCATAATTTTCACACATTGGTGGTGGAAGTATAAAATTCCACAACCATTTTGAAAACTCTACCAATTACTAAGTTAAACATAAATCTACATATGCTGTTAGTAATTCTACTCCTGTGTTTGTGTCCAAAATAAAAAGAAAAGAGATTTCTTCAAATGCTACAATAAGGTAACAGAGATACCCAGAAATCAGGGTAGAAACACTGTTTACGACTTAAAGGTTCTAAAGGTAATGTGGAAAAGTTGGTTCAATGTGGGATAGCCAGGTTTGTAATTCTAGCACTCCTGCCCTAGGTAGGGAGATTCCTTAGAGGGCTATGAAAGCTATGGTATGGAGTCATGAGCTTATGCAAGATAACAAATAACAAAATGTTTAAGAAATAGTGGATAGGGCTGGGGATTTAGCTCAGTGGTTCCGTTGCCTGCCCTGCAAGCACAAGGACCTGAGTTCAATCCCTGGTACCAAAAACAAATAAACAAACAAAAAAAGAAATAGTGGATAACAGCTGGGTAGAACTTATTCATAAATTAGAATTGGTGCTGAGTTTAAAATAAAAGAAGTAGTATAAGTCAACTAACAAAACAGAAAATGATTTGTAGAAGAGCTAAAGGACAAAGAATATTAGGATAAATTTTAGGAGGAACCACAACTGGGGCTTTGGAAATAGGGCTTAATTTAGGGGTTTCAGATTGCACCTGGAGCTGTTTCTCTCTTTGTACCCTCCCTCCAAGCCAAAGCTAAGTAAAGTAATATGTGTAAACCCTCCCATTCCCTTTTAAATGTATTTTAGCATTCTGAAAACCAAACAATAAATGATTTTAACTTTTTTCCAAATACATCATTAGAGGGCCTAGATCATAAGAAGAATATTATCACATGCCAAAAAATACAGTACATTGTTCTCTTCCCCTGAGGAGTTGTAGACAGAGAAGAAGCCAATGATTCTTGGCTGTAAACTCCACTTTCACTGTAAGAGCTGATGTTTGGAGAGGAAGAGCGAGATGGGGAGTCCATGGTCAAATCAAGCTTCATGGCAGAATCAGGGCTTTCAACATCAGAAGTACTGCCACTCAGTTTTGCTCTTTTCTTAGCTGCACTATTCCGAAGAGATCTCAGAGAGCTCTGCATCTAATAAAAAAATAAAAACAACTTCATGATTTAACATAAATTCTTAGTATTAGTAAAAGTTATCTGTGGATTTTTAAACTCTACTAATTATCCCTAACTAGCTATTCCTAAATCCAGTACTAAGAAGATGGATGCTAACATAGATGTACACTGTATAAAAGCACAGACCTTATCACTGGATATAAATAACCTACTAGGTTCTTAGATCCATGAGAGGAAGAGTTTCATCTATTATTTGCCATGATAATTTTGGTACCAGGCACAATGATTTAAAAAATTAGTTTAAAAAAATTAGTTCAGTTCCTTAATAAAGGAACCACTGAATCAGATGGTAGTTAAGAGGTAGAGATGTATAGCTAATTTTAGCTCCCTGGGTTGCTAAGGATCCTACTTACAAATTCTAGAGGGCTAACAAAAAATAATCAGTTTTCTAAAGTTTGACATTTAGATCAAATCTGCAAAAGCGTTTAAGAATTCAGAGAATAACAGATTACTGCATGTAACTATTTTGAAGCCAACTATTTTTTAAAATCCAGACAAATGATTCCAGACTAATAAGTCTGGGAATAGAATCCTGAAAATATTTAGGAAATACAGAATCATACATAAACTGTTTGGTTTACATTTCAATTCATAAGGTTAGGCATTTAATGAAAGTATCTGCCTTTAACTAATGAAACATCCATAAATTTCTTAAGTCTTTACACTTATTAAAAGATAGGTTCAACAAACTTCTTAATGAAGTGTTGGCAGCGTAGTACACTGGGAACCAAAATGAACATGGAGCCAATTGAACTGAACTTGAATTCTAGCCCATCACTTACTTTTCTACCCTGAGCAAGGCAATAACATCTCTGATCCTCTTCTGTAAAAACAAACACACATACAAAACAAAACCATAATAGATGTTGTGTTGCTTAACTCAGGGTGTTACTGTAATGAAAATGAAAGTGTTTGATACATTACCAAGTACTGTGGAAATATAGCAACTGTAACATAAAAATGCATATAAAAGTAATATTGAACTGAGAAAGTTGATTAGTATACTTTCCTTGTAACACAAGAACACAATTCTAATCCATAAAATTCATGGTAACTTTTTCTTTGTTTGGTTTTTTGAGGCAGGGTCTTGCTATGTAGTTCAGGCTAGCCTTGAACTCACTATGCAGCCCAGGTTGGCGCTGAACTTGCTGTGATCCTCCTGCCTCAGCCTCCTGGGTGCTAGGATTTCAGGCATGCACCACCACACCTGGCTCCACAGTGACTTTTTTTAAACATCAAAGAAGATGAACAGAGACCACTAACTAGAAGGCAGGGTGGGCAATTTTAATTAATTACACTGGTAGATTCAATAGTAGGCCCTTCTCCCTATTAAAAGCTTGGAAGATTGAATGTGTTTACTCCTGTGTTTACTAATAATTATATAAGAGAAACTCACCTTTCAATTATCTACTAAAAGAAAAAGGGCTACAGAAAAACAGTGCAAGAATATGTAGGATCAGGTGAAATGTATGAGTTATGTAGGAAAACCCCTTTTCTCTATGTTTCTTTCCTTCAAATAAATTCCCTTCCCCATACAACTGAAATATAATGAGTTAGAAAAGACAAAAATTAAGGAAAAGATTTCACAAACAACACTTAGAAGTTGGAATGACTAATTGTTCAGAACCAACTTGGTACTTTCTAAATTTTATGGATGCTTAACATTAAAAATAATTTTAGGGCCAGGGATTTAGCTCAGTGGCTCCACACCTGCCCTGAGTTCGATCCCTAGTACCAAAAAGAAAAAAAATTAGATGAATATGCATTAAAATTAACTCTAAGCAAACTATTAGTACATGATTCTTCCATCTTGAAAACAGGTGAACATAAGACCAATTAAAAATCACGATTATTTCTGTTTATATGTGATGTAAAAGCTTTTGTTTTTTGAGAAAGGGTCTCTGCCACATAGGCCAGTCTGGCTTCAAACTCGCCGTCCTGCTGCCTCAGCCTCTTGACTGCTGGGATTTCGGGCATGTGCCATTATACCTAGCTTAATCTTTCATTCCTATAAGTTCTCCTATAACAGACAGCCATGTGCATGTCTTCTTGTATTCTGCTACCATGTTTGGCCTGTAAAACCCTTTTCTGACATGAAATTAGGCAAACTGAAATATGAAATAGTGCCCTAAATTCAAAATGAAAAACAGAAACGACATTCTTTCTCCGACATAATTAGTATGTACAAAGTTATGTTACTGGTAACATATTTTTTTTTTTTTGGGTACCGAGGATCAAACTCAGGTCCTTGCGCTTGCGCAGCAGGCGGCGAAACCACTGAGCTAAATCCCCGGCCCAACAGGTAACATATTTTGATAGCATGAACAGTGCAATGTAGGATTCACAGATGAATATACAATATGACCTCAATTTCATAAAGATAAAAAAATGTGCAGATATGCACAAAGGCTTAAGAATGTTTTTTTTTTGGTACCGGGGATCAAACTCAGGTCCTTGCGCTTTCGAGGCAGGCAGCGGAACCACTGAGCTAAATCCCCAGCCCCTAAGAATGTTAACTGTAGCATTGTTTGCAATAATAATAAGCTCAAATCAATGGTATGAATGTACAATTAATATATAAAACATACATTCATATAAAACTACAAAATATGTAAAACATGAATTAATATTAACAGGAGTTAATTTGTGAAGACAGATATTAGATTAGGAAGGGAACTGTAATATAGGAGACAAATGTGACAAACTGTTCACTGGCAGTGGTTAGTACACTGAGGTACTGCTATGTTACTATTCATACTTTTAATTTAAAAGAGAATAATATATACACAGAAAAATAACTGGAATGAAAGAAACATGAGTGTGTTACAGGAAATTATTCTGGGTAGTGGGATCTGGTGTTCTGAATTTCCTTCCTGATAATTCATGGCATTACCACATTTTATAATGAACATGAAATATTTTTATAAATAAAAAAACGTGTCATGGGATAAGAAGGACTTGATTTTTCCTTCATAGTAACTGTAATATTATAGAAATTTTCAAATAATCTTAAATAATTAAAGATGATGCTTCTTACCTCTTCTTGATCCAAATCTTTATCCTTGAAATTTAATTCTGAAAGATCAATTGTAAGACTATCTTTTTCACTCTTCCAAATATCATCAGGCTCTTTCTTTCTGTTGCCCACGGTGCTTAAATCAGCTTTATCAGGCAAAAGGTTTATCCCCCTTGGTATAGGAGGGACAGGCTTTGTCCCATTTAGGCCTCGTCTGGAAGATGGTGATCTTACTAAGGCAGGTATAAGCTGAACTGCAGTAGCTTTTTCTTGAGAATTTTCTCCTGCATGAAAAAAACCATTATTTCACTTTTTTTTTTTTTTTCAGAGAAGAGGGGCATATAGTCACAAGTCTGTCAGGAATAGTGTCTTCAAAAAAAGGCACATTTTGTTTCATTAGAAATAAAGATTAGTATTTAAAATGAAATGAAATAACAGTATCAGTGTCCCTTAATGAATATAACAAAAATGAGCCACTTGAAATCTTTTATATTATATACCAAATTAAGTTACCTGCCATCATACACATCTTCATGACTACTATCTGTTAGGATAAAATCCAAAATAGGCTAGAAGAGCTACTTTTCTGTCCTGATTCACTTATGTAAGCAGCATTTGGATGACTAGTATACAAAAGACCTGATGCTGGGGACTGGGGAGAATAAAGTGAATAAAGTCTCAGCATTTTTTCCCCCTGCAGTGCTGGATCAAGCCCAGGGATTCAAACATGCTAGGCAAGCACTCTCCCACTGAGGTACACCTTTAGACCAAAGTCTTGGCTTTTAATTCAATATCTGATCTTGTAGGGAAGACAAAGAAATTAACAGAAGGGAATGAAGGTTCAATATTAAGAGAAAGTGATACAACTGACAGAATATGCCATATATTGATTTTAATATGGTTATAAATTCGAACAAATGGTGTTATAGGGTATTAATGGTGGAGAATCTTACCCTTGCTAAAAAAAAAAAAAGCATGTAGGACAGAGGGGATGCTTTAATAGACTTTTCTTTTTTTGGTATGGGAGATTGAACTTGGGTCCTTGTGCTTGCGCAGCAGGCAGAGAAACCACTGAGCTAAATCCCTGGCTTTAACAGACTTTTTGAGACTGGATTTGTCTTTAATGAACTCATATACTAATATCATGATTGTAGAGGGAATATTATTACAAATGAGATTTTAGTTTACAACAAATAACAGAAAACCCTTCAAAATTATAGCATATAATAAACATTCAACTAATGTTTAATGAATGAATACTAGACAGTAAATATATAAATGACATTTTATATTGATAATATTAAATTTATTAGCAGGTTCTTAAGCAACATAATGCTGTTCACATACATTATAAAGGATTATTTGTCTGGTTCTGAAGAGGGATATTTCAGTGGCAATATAAGAATATTAATGATCATGTCAATGGAATTTTACATTATACACATTTACTCTATCATATAAACTATTAAATATTTTCCTAAATATTTTCTAATTCAGAGAAACATAATGTAATTTATGAGTTTTAAAAAATCTGATATTAACTAATCTATACATTAACTCCAAAGCATTAATTGAAACATACATATCTATTGACCTTTACCATCATTTTTACCTGTAGGATCAGAGGATTTTTGGTTGACAAGATTCTTCTGTGGACTTGGCTTTGATAGTCCTTCAAAGCTTTTAAGAGGCCAGGAATTTGAGAAATTAACAGAATTATCTTGAGACTTCTTTGGAGATACAGTAAGAGGAGACGTATGCTTTGGACTAGTTCGTGGTGATGAGAGAGGGTGGGATGGAAGTATGAAGGTTCCCGGACTTGGATTTGGACCAGGGTATGAAGAAGTACGCTCTGTTTGACTACCAAATGTTTGCTGTAGCCTACTGCCATAATATAGGCTAGCATACACTGTCATAAAACAAAAGAAAATATGTTATTTATACATGCATATCTTCTCAGACCTTAAAGTTTTACTTTTATTTTCACATTCAGATTTTCATTCCATCTGGTATTTGTCTTTTTGTATGATGTAGGGCATTGGTGGCGAACTTATGGTACATGTGCTGCAGCAGGCTGTTTGTATCATTGAAAGCTCTGTTACTGTGTCTTTAAGACAAAAAGCTTGTTTTTTCTATACTAAAACCTCAGTATTCAGGTTTAATCGCAGTTTTGGCACTTTGCAATAAGTGGGTTTTGGGTAGCAGTTTGGGTACTCAATCTCTAAAAGGTTCACCATCACGGGTTTAGGGTAAAGATTTAATTTAATTTGTATTTATATATATTGTATTTTCTTCTATTAGTTTTCTACTAACATTTGTATACTAAAATCTTCTGCTTGTAATTCTGTTAAATCACATACACATATTCTTGAACGTATAGTTAGTCCAATGTACGTAATCTCTTCTCTCTCCCTCTTTATTCTCATGCACTCACAATCAGAAGTTTGTCTTGTTAGTAAGTTGTTTTTTGTCTCACTATAAAGATACTCTCTAGTGCTAGAAGTGTGATTAGTTTTATTGTGTATGTCTGTCACCAATTCATTTTACCTGCTTTTCTTCTTTGAACATTTGCCTAGTGTATCTTCCTCTCCACGCTTTCCTTTCTCCCAAACTACCCTGATATATTTTAGATTTGGCTCTTAAAAATAGCCTTTCAATCAAAAAATAAAATCTGATCATCTTTGTAATTTAAATGGTAAGTCATATACATTTATATTTATGGTAATTATTTAAATATTTGGATTATTTTGTGCTCTCTTTGCTGTGTTTTTTATTACTTTTTTCTTGCCTTATAATATTTTCTTTTTATATCTCAACTAAAATAAACAGCTATTTGCAATCTTTTAGGATTCCCTTAAATTTTCTTTTAAGATTATTTTTACAAGATTGTCTTTGACCAAACACCTAACTTATGTATACTATAAATAAAATTTTTTGAAGATCTCAATGACTTCTGGGTGTCGGGGATTTAGCTCAGTGATTCTGCCGCCTGCCTCACAAGCACAAGGTCTCGAGTTCAATCCCTGGTACCCCCCCCCCAAAAAGAAAGAAAAGCTATCTGGGTGGAAATGAGGAAAATAGTAGTCAGAGATTAACATATAAATATTTGCAGTTTCCTAATTTCGATACAGTGCTCTATTAATAGCTTCGCATGCTTCATGGTAGCAGTTCATTCATTAAGGGGACTGAAACATATTTCTTACAAAGAAATCAAACATCAGATCTTTTATGCATATAAATAGAACCAATACAACGCAACATACACCAACATTTCCAACATTCAGTGTGGATCACTACATTTAAAATTGGGATAGGAATGTTTAGATGGTTTAACATTCACACTCCAGGTCCTTCAGAGATTCCCTAGGAATACTAACTGAGAAGTGGCAGTGCTGTCAAGAATTTTTTTTTTTTTTTTTTTGGGTTCCGGGGATTGAACTCGGGTACTTGCTCCTGCACAGCAAGCAGCGAAACTACTGAGCTAAATCTCCAGCCCCTAGAATTCTTAATATACAACCAATTATTACATTCCAGGAGCTTTAGACTATGGCATGCCTTTATAGTTGCTGCTCTAATAGATACTGTATTCTGAAAAGTTAGAGAAAACCACAGCTACTCTGCTGATCTGATTAAATATTGAGAATAGAGGTAATCTTCAAAGGGCTGGCCTAAACAGAGACAAAATAATCCACAGAGCAAACCCTGTTTCTATAAATCACGACTTAGGAAATACCCGTATCATTAACAATGACAGACCTATTTATTGTGAAGTGGGTAACATCACAACAATAAATTTTTAAGGAGCTATGTGACCCTATGGGGTAGGTAGAGAATAGCTAAAATTTAGGTACTACATTAACCAAATTTTTACTAATTTCAAATGAGCATTACTTTTCCACCAATAAATGTATATCTTTATCACTCAAAAAAATTGTACTAAAGGACATACAACAAAAATTAAAATATTTCTAGGAATATTTAACCCTATTACATACTAATTATTAAGCTATTTCTTAGCATAAATTTTTTTCTTTTCTTTTGAGACAAGGTCTTGCTATGTACTTTAGGCTAGCCTTGAACTCACATAGCACAAGCTGGCCTTGAACTCGTGGCGATCCTCCTGCCTCAGCCTCCCTAGTACTGGGATCACAGGCCTGTGCCACCATGCCCAGCCTAAAAATTTAAAATGGATTTGTTTTCTTTTGTTTTGGAGACAAGGTGTCATTATTTTGCCAGGGCTGGTCTCAAACTCCTGAGCTCAAGTGATCTGGGGTGACACGTGCTTGCCACTGCACATGACTTAAAACACTGTCAATCTGAAAACGCGTATGACTGACAAACAGCCTCCACTCCTTCCTTTTCTTATGTATCTTATGTCTTATCTGAAACAATAGCTTGTCAGGGGATAGTAGTTCCTAAAAGGAGACATAAGAAATTCCAATAGTCTTAAAATTTAAAGCTGTTGTAGAAATAATTGTCATCATGCAGTTTGTCTTTCTTTTCTTTTTTCTTTTTTTTATCTGTCTGTCTGCAGTACTAGGCACTGAATCTAGGGCTTTCACACTGAGCTACATTCCCCACCCTTTTAAACTTTTTTACTTTGAGACAAGGTCATGCTAAGTTGCTAGGTTCCCTAGGCTGGGCTTGAACTCGAGACCTGCCTCAGCTCAAACAGTACTATTTAATGGATGTTATTTTCAATTTTTTGGTATTAAAATGTTCATCTTCACCATAAGTTTCTAAACCTTTACTATCATCAGTTATATGAACATCTGCATTATAAAATCTAACATTTTAGGGTAACAATTACGGGAAAAAGTTATTAAAATTATTATTAAAATATAACAAACATCCTTTTCTTTTTCGTGATGAGTATAATTACACAAAATAAAGTACAAACTAGTGTCAGAAATCCCACGAGGACTGGGATGTAGCTCAGTGGCAGAGTACCTGCCTACCAAGCACGAGGACCGGGGTTAATCCCTAATAACACCAAAAGAAAAAATTCCCACATAATATTTATAAATCATTTGTTCCCAAGTAAATCTGGAATTTATACCTTTATCTTGATGACTGTTAGTTGTCCCCAGGAGCTCTAAGTTAGAATCTACACTGCCAGTTTTACCACGTATATGTGACAATCCAAGTTGTCCACATTTCCCAGGAAGATTTGTCTGATGAGTCCCAGTTGTACCTTTGGAAAAGAAAAAAAAGGAAAAATCCACAAAAGTAAAAAGTAAACTTTATTTCATACATTCATTTTATTTCACAAATGTTGGTGTAATTTGGGTGGGAATAAATATAGGCATATCAGGTATACTTAGCCAGGCAGGCAAAAAGGAATAAGGCTTTTACTATTGGCAAATCTGATTGGAGGTTAAAGTACAGAAAATCAACTGGTAAAGAACAGGGAAAGGAAAGGTATACTGAAGATTGAGATAAAGACCATCTATTCCAACTTTCTGTAGGGTTTTTTTTATCATGAATGGGTGTCGGACTTCATCAAATGCTTTTTCTGGATCTGCTAAGATAATCATATGGTTTTTGTGCTTGGCTCTGTTAATATGGTGTATTTTTTTATTTTTTATTTTTGGTAACAGAGATCGAACTCGGGACCTTGCGCTCGCGAGGCAGGCGGCGGAACCACTGAGCTAAATCCGCGGCCCAATATGATGTATTACATTAACTGATTCGTGTACGATCCATCCCTGCATCCCTCGGATGAATACTATTTGATCATGATGAAGAATATAAAATACACAAAGGCAATTTCTTTCTTCATTCTCCTTTTTCTCATTGTGGAATGTTTCTCTATAACCTGGCTTTCCTTCTTCCCGGTATCTCTAGTATATACTACCCCAAACATTCTACTGCAGAACTCTCCTACTTTCTTAATATACCACACAGGATTCAGGTACTGTAGCTTCAAAGCCTACTTCTAAGTTTCTAAGCATGTTTCCTGGATCCCTTTTCCTCTCCTGTGGCTGGTTAAGGTTATTCCTAGGTAGGGGACAAAGTCTTTTTAAAAAGGCAATAATGCCCTCTCTGGCAGATTATTCATGTATAAAATGAGCTGGCCTTCTGTAGTTCTAAATTCTGTTTTTTTTCCAGTACTGGAGACTGAACTCAGGAGCTTGCACTTGCGAGGCAGGCCCAGCACCACTGAACTAAGTCCCCGGCCCTAAACTCTATGATTTAAAAAAAAAAATTCCCTCCTTGTGATTTCAAGACTTCTTATCTTTAATGTACTGGATATCTTCTATGTTAATTCCTTCATCCCTGAGTTTGGTTATACTCTCTTCTCACCTGTAACAGTTCCTTTTGTCTCACTGTTAAGTTGCAAACACTTTCAACTTTTTTTTTAGGAGGTAGGGTACCAAGGCTTGAACCTGGGGCCTTGTGCACCTTAAGGACTGCTCATCACTAACCTATATTTCCACCCCTTTTTACATTTTAGTTTGAGACAGGGTCTCACGAAGTTGCCCAAGTTGATCCTGAACTTGTGATCCTCTTGCCTGGGCCTCCTAGGAGCTGAGATTACAAGCTTCTGTCACTATCCTTGGCCTTTCTGGTCTTTAAAGTCCAATTCAAGCCATTTCTTTTCCCATAGTTTTCTCAAACTACTTCACCACCTACAATCAATTTCTTTCTTTTCTATTCTTTTTTTTTCCTGTACTGGGGACTGAACTCAGGACCTTGTACCTGCAAGGCAGGTGTGGCGCCACTGAGCTAAATAAATCCCTGGCCCCCCAATTCCTTTCTTGAACCCCTGATATTTATAATTCATATTATACAATCTAGCATTAGGTTATATATCATCTTATTCCCTAGTTGTTTAAAATCTGTACAACTAGGTAATGAGCTTCTGTATGGTATAGAAACTATAACATAAAAATCCAAAAAAGAACATAACTGGTATATTCTTGTACTTCTGCTTCTCTAGTATGTAAATAACAAATTACATTACACAATCATTTCATTTCTTTTTTTTTTTTTGTACCGGGGATTGAACTCAGGTCCTTGCGCTTGCACAGCAGGCAGCCAAACCACTTGAGCTAAATCCCTGGCCCTCATTTCATTTCTATACAAAAATACTATAGAGTTTTACTGCATAAAGGCCTATGAATTCCCTTAGTCAAAATTTCAACAACTGGTATCATTTGGATATTAAATAAATGTTAAAATCTATAACATATTCACTCTTTATCTTCCATATCATGTGCCCTTCCCATCAGTATTATTCTGTCAACAGATTTCCATTTTCCTTTCTTTCTTTTGTCTTTTTTCCCCTTTCAGGACTGGGCACCTGAACCTAGGGCCTTCACTAAGCTGAAACTCCAGCCCCTCCTTTTTTTTCTTTTTCTTTTTTGGTACCGGGGATCAAATTTGGGACCTTGCACTTGTGAGGGAGGTGCCAGAACCACTGAGCTAAATCCCTGGGCCCCCTTTTTACTTTTCATCCCGAGACAGAGGATTGCTAAATTTCCAGGATGGGCTCAAATCTGTGATTCTCCTGCTTCTTACAGGCATGGACCCAAATACCTGGTTTTCTTTTTTTTTTTTTAATAGAAAAAAGAATATAAAGGGCCGGGGATTTAGCTCAGTGGTTTCGCTGCCTGCTGCGCAAGTGCAAGGACCCGAGTTCGATCCCCCGTACCAAACAAACAAACAAACAAACATAAAACAACACAGAAAAAAGAATACAAATCTATTAATGTACACTGTGAAAATCAAAGGAATGTGATTACCCCAACATATTTTCATTTTTCTAATGAGCTAGGTGCTAAGTCTTAAAAATTTTCTCTATTCTCCTTTATTTTTTATATAAAACCACATCTTCCTGGTTATTTTTTCCTATTTCACTTACAAACAACCTTATGACCCTAGTTTCTTTTTTCATTAGTTAAAAAAAAAAAAAACAACTTCACTGGTCCTTAAGGCTTACAAGTATGAGCTCACATTTTTGAGCCTAGTGCATAAGAGCTTCCCTTGTCTCAATTTATCTTGCACCATCTGAAATGAATCTTGATGCAGCTCCCAGAGTATCTCATGCTCATCCATAATGTAAGTCTTTGCTCTCATACCTCCCCTCTAGCTATTTATATCATATGAATCACAAAAAGATGTGGCTCAAGTACTACCTCTTCCTTAGTGCCTTTTTTTTTTGGTACCAGGGATCGAACTCAGGACCTTACATTTGCAAACCAGGCAGTGGAACCACTGAGCTAAATCTCCAGCCCTCCTTAGTGCTTTTTTAACTGAGATGGCTCATGGCAATGACCATGTCATCTGGACTATCATAATATTTACTTTCTGTAACAGGCAATTAAACACCTTTCCAGTTGCTCTGGCATGACATTCCTAGAGCATTCCAGACTCCTCTTTCACACACTCCATATCCAATCTACCAGCAAATTATGTCAACAATTAGAATCCAATCACTTCTACATTCATCGCTATCCTGGTTACAGCCTCCATCAGCTCTAGCCAGGATTAAAACAAGGGACTCTTAATCAGTTCTATTTTTGTCCTTGTCCTCTTTTCACCTGGTTTGAAACATAAGCTCCAAAATTAGCCTGGAAATCAAGGCAAATAACGTCATTTCTTTTCTTAAAATGCTTCTTACTCACACTAAAAGCTAAAGTTAATTTAACAGCTCAGTAGATTTTATAATTAAGCCCCCCTCCTTTGTTTTTTTGAGACAGGGTCTCACTATGTAGTTCAGGCTGCCCTTGAACTCGGGGCGATCCTCCTGCCTCAACCTCCCAAAGCTGGGATGACAGGTGTGCACCACCACACCCAGCATAAAGACCCCTATTAGCTCTTTTAATTTTCTATTTCTTTTCCCCTTATACATTTAATTTCTGACATATTAACCTCTTTAATCACTCTGAAATATGTCCAACATGCTTCTATTGCAGTGACTCTGCACTGACTGTTCCTCTTTCTGAAGTTATTTAAAAAAATTTTTTTTTTTGTACCGGGGATTGAACTCGGGTCCTTGCGCTTGCAGGGCAGGTGGCGGAACCACAGAGCTAAATCTCCGGCCCTTTTCTGAAGTTATTTGCTTCTCTTTCCTGATACCTAATGTTTTGCTTCAACGCTGTCCTTCTAAATATGGCTACCTTTCACTGTATTACTCAAAATAGTCCCCCTCCATATTTCTCTTCTTTGCTCTATTTTTATCCATAGGTTCTTTCCTTATCTAATTTACCATGTCTTGCATTTAATGTTTGCTCCCTTCCCCAACCAGAATGCAAGTTGTATTAGACAGAAACTCTTCCCTCTCTTCTTGACACACAAGCGGTGTTCAATAAATATGAGTGGTTTATTAAATGAATACTGCTCTACATTGCTACTTAATAAGTTTCAATGAGAAACTCCTCCAGGGTCTCCTGAGACAATTGTGTGAAAACGTCCATTTTTATCAGATCTTCAATAAACATTTATTGAATCTGAACTTCCTACTATGTTATAAACCGTGCAAGTCCTTGAATGGATTGTGAAGTTTAGAGAAGTTTTTAACTTACTTCAACATATCCATCACCTTCAACTTTTACTTACCAGAAGCACATGCAGGAAGAGAATCTGGGTGAAAGTCCTGACTATTCTGAAGTAAGTTTCTGGACACTCTTTTTCTGCTAAAACATAAATCATCACTGACTGGCATTCCTTGAGAAGATTTTAATTTTGGAGATGGGATAAGATCATATGCTGAAAACTATAAAAAAAAGAATAATAAGTTAGCAAATCTGTATTAAGTCTACCTGGTAATATATGTGTCAAAATAATTTAGACCAAATTGTGAAATTCAGAGCATAAAAAAAAGTTATCAAATATACAATGTCACATTCATATATAGTATGGTATGCTGTTTTTCATTTCAACATAGAAATGTTAATTTTTTTTCTCTTACTACTTTACTTCCACCCTTTTCTGTACTTTACCACGTTACAATATATATCTGGCAATTGAAAAGGAGAATTCAAATGACAACTTGAATGAAGAACAGAATGACTGGCTGAACCCTGTGACCCTTCAAATTATGCCATCTTTAAGCAGCAGACAATAAATGCCAATTGCAAATCACTGAATAAGCAAGCATCTTGTTTTACTTTTCTCACTGAGGCAAATGTACTATCTATATCCTCCAGCCAAAATGTATAAACAAAAGACATGCTAACCTATTTTACGGTTTTCTTAGCAGCTTTTCTTATATAGGTGTCTGTTAGTTAAAAGCAAGGACACAGGGTCTGGAGGTGTAGCTCAGAGACAGAGCATGTGCTTAGCATGCACAAGGCCCTTGGTTCAATTTTCAGTTGAACAACGAAAAACCCAATTACATTTCAAAAATATCTAGTACTTTATGGTTTCCAAGTCCTTTTCTCATAAATGCCACATGATCCTTAAGGTACCAAAGTGGCATGGTATAATTTTGAAGTTCTATCTAATCACAGTTCAAGAAAGCATGATTCAAGTGTTCAGATTTCTTCATTCAGGACAACCTCAATTTTTTTTGGATCATTTTACATTCAAATGGGTATAAAACATTTTTAAAAAGTGAGTGAATTTACAAACTACATATTTATTTCTAATTTACAGAAACAATCAAATCTAGATACATGGTGCACTATAAGCTTTGACATTATGCTGCTTTGTGAACTTTGCCAAGTACCAAAGAGCAATGAAACAAAATAAAATGAAAGGGCCAGGGATTTAGCTCAGTGGTGCCGCTGCCTGCCTCACAAGCGCAAGGTCCTGAGTTCGATCCCTGGTACCAAAGAAAATAAAAATGAAAATAAAATTAAATTAAATTAAAGATATGTCTATTTGAAAGTTTTTTGACTACTCAACTATTATAAAACTGTAAACTACCAAATATACATCAGATAACTCATTATTGCTCATTACATTTTGTGTAAAACCTATTAACTCCTTCAAAAATTAACCAGGAAAGATAAATGAGGAATGCACAATGTTAGATGAAAAATGAGTAAGTTTACTTTTTTCCAAATTCAAATATTATAATTTCTTTGATTATATAGTAGTATTAAGAGGATACAATGGAATAAAAATGAATCACTTGCAGTGAACTTCTGCTAAGATATATTAAATATAGGGCCGGTGATTTAGCTCAGTGGTTTCACCTCTTGCTGCGCAAGCGCAAGGACCTGAGTTCGATCCCCAGTACAAAAAAAAAAAAGGATATATTAAATACATCATAAGATATATTAAAATATTGACACAGCTAACATAGTAAGTGATCTAGAAATAATTTTTCAGTATGGAATATATTTCATATTGAATTTATTTTGCAATTATTATTATTTTATTTTGGTACTGGGGATTGAACTCAGGACCTTGTGCTTGAGAGGCAGGTGCAGTGCCACTGAGCTACATCCCTGGCCCTTGTAATTATTTTTTGCTTAGGGAACAGAACATTAGAATATATGACAGAATCATACTACACTCAATGAGGAAGGTGAAGATAGGCATGGGGTGTGTGGGTGTGTGTTTATGCAGCATTTTTGGAAATCGGGAAGTCAGTCATACAGGATTTTGCTACTGAAAATATTTGATAAAAGACTCTAGGAAGTATCAAATATTAATATGAGAGGCCTTTCTTCATTTTTCATAAAAGCAATCAAACGACTTTCATCACAGGATGCTCCAATAAATAAAGGGAAAAGAACATTTGGAGTAAAAAAGTATAACATAGATAAATTTTCAGAATTGTGAGCTGAAGTTACAAAAGGCAGTCAGGCATGATGGCACAGGCCAGTAATCCTCGGATTCTGGGAGGCAGAGGCAGGAGAATCACAAGTTTGGGTCCACCCTGGGCAACTTAGTGAGGACATGTCTCAAAATTAAAATACACAATAAAAAGGGGGGCAGGTGGGAAAGTAGTTCAGTAGGAACTACATAGTAGTATTAAAAGGACACAATGGAACAAAAACAAACCAAGTGCAATTAGCTCAATCCCCAGTACTGTCAAAAGAAACTTTTTTTTTGAAAAGGTGAAGTAGTCTATTGAAAGTACCTTATAACTCAGACCTTTTAGCTTTTGAAGTTTCTAAAAATTGAATCATTTAATACCTTAGAGTTATAGTAAGTGAAAGCACTCTAAAAAGCAAGTTTTATACTTAATATTAAAAATATTTAGAAATCCATATAGTCTTATCTACTGGAATCTGGTTTTCTTATTGGTCTTTTTAACAGTTATTCTTTGAATATAGCCACCAATGTCTACAAAAATGGAATAAAGAAAACTAAATTCATAACATTCAACAATTAAGTTTTCCAAACCTTAGGTAGGTCTAATCTTCTCTTTCTTTCCTAGTGGATGTTTGTAATATAGAGTTGGTACAAGCATATAACATATCTTGATCATTTTCAATCCCTTTACCCCTTCTTCCTTCCAAGGTTAGCCTTTTAAAAATAAAACTTACTGTAAAGGGTACGGACACTGAGCCAAATTTCTCAATCTGTTAGTTATGTTTTGCTATATAATGAATTATCTCAAAATACTAGGTTAAAACAACAAACGTATTATCCTTCTGTGCTTCAGGCACTTGGAAGCAGCTGAGGGATGACTGTGGCTAAGTGGCTTAGCTGGACGGTTAATGTCTCTGAACCACTGCACTAAATCCCCAGCCCTCTTTTTTTTTTTTTAAAGCTAACATTCTTAATAGATTGGCACCTGCTCCTATCTTAAATTCTGTGGTTTGTTATAACTAGACCCTTTATATCAGGGATGGTGAACCTTTTAAAGCTTTTAATGATACAAACAGCCCACTGTGGCACAGGTGCTGTAGGTTCACCACCACTGCTCTAAGTTATATAAAAGACAAAAATTTCCATCTGATGAATAGAAATACTTTCTCAACAGGCAAACTGATATGCTTGTCTACCTATGAACAGTATTAATAAATCAAGATAAAATCAACTAGTATAATCTCTTTGAATTGGTGTATAGGTTTGCTTTTTTAAAAAAACATATGATTGGGGCCAGGGATTTGGTTCTGGCGCCTGCCTTGCAAGTGCAAAGTCCTGAGTTTGATCCCCGGTACCACAAACAAAACAAAACAAAAAACTTATGATTTAAATATATTGTCTCTTTAAGAAAAAAAAATTCATCTAGCCAAAAGCTGTAAATTTAGGGAAAAACATAGGTTAATAATCAGTTTAAATACTGACCTTGGGTCATTTGGATAAATAAGGGAGGAGGGTCCTTAAAAGTTTTAATATTTGACATAATTGTATAGAAAAAGTTCACATAACCCTACTTAAGATGGTTCTTTGGCAATACTAGATTTGTTTAACAATAGTATTTCTCTTTGTCCCAATTTTACTACCATGTACAAGTTATATTAGTATGATACAGCTGTTTGGGAAAATCTCAAACTTCTCAAACTTATCTTCTTAGGAAAAAACTAATTAACAACTAACTAAATTTCCTCCAATGGTTTCACAGTTACATACTTTAACTTCATTTCTTTTCAAAATACTACATAAAACTGTAAAATTATTCTCCAACTAAGTTTATAATAGATGATAGCATTATAAAAAGGGATTAATTCTTACGATGCCACAAATCTTATAATGCTTACTATAGTTTACAATGTTCAGGCTTTGAGTTAACTTTAAGATTTTAGATTAATATAAAATTAAAAACTTTTTAGATCTTAAATAATTTCAAATTAAGATAAAATGCAAATCATGATGACCAAGTGTTTTATAATTTATCCTTGTGTCTTAGATCTTATATCATTACAAAATATCAAATAGACATGTTAAAGGAAATGTTTTTGGATGATGTTAATGTATATGCTTGCTTTTATCACTTAAATAATTATAAAAAGGATATAAAATAGATACTCATGGACAAAAAGAAAAGATGATTTTTTTTTGGTACCAGGGCTCGAACTCAGGGCCTTGCGCTTGCGAGGCAGCCGTGGTGCCACTGAGCTAAATCCCCAGGCCAGAAAAGATAATTTTTGGTTACATGACTTGGTTTTCTCTGTGTTGTTCATAATACCGACAGGCTTCACTGTGAAAGGTTTCTTTATTCACACCCTAATCATACTTTTCAAAGAAAATTAAAGACTAGCTATTGCAAATAATCCAACACCCAAAGAAAACCTCAAGTTTTAGGATTAAGTTCATACTGAACATATTAGTGTAATTTAAAAATTTTACCTTTTCTGATTCCCTATTAAATTTGTTATATTAAATATTCTAAGTATTTCCCACATTCTTCAAGTACTGGATACCTATTTCCCATTCTCAGCTTGCTCTTAATTTAACAGAATCTGGAAGCCTAATAGTAGATCCTTGCTTGTATAACTGGTTTACAGATCAGCAGCATGAGCAAGCCCTTGGAGCTTATTAGCCATGTAGTCTCAGGAACCATTCTAGAAACACCGAATCTGAATCTGTATTTTTAATAAGCTTCTGAGGCAATTTATATGGATATTAAAGTTTGCTAAACACTGAAACAGAGGTCATGTCTTCATTCTTTTGACTTTAAAACACACACACACACACACACACACACACACACACACACACGCTTTCCTGCTACCTCAAAAGCTTTCTGTATTTTGAGTCATTCTACTTTTCGTTCCTTCAGTTTCAGATGAAAAGACTTCCACCTGTCCCAAAGGTAACCCTCTCTTAACTCTGTTTTTGGCCACTCAGTATTTATTTAGGGACATTATT